CAGGGGTCCTGGTCTTCTTGGGGGGCCGGGCCGGCACGCCATCCGCGGGGTCCCCCTCTACATCCCGTGCTCCTGCGGAATGTCTCCTCCCCGGGGGCAGGACGGTCCTTGGAGCGTCAGATCACCTAAACGGCAAGGAAAGAGGTCTTCTTGTTCTTTTCAAAAGTATTTTTATTGACGTCAGAGAGGAAGGGAGCGGGAGGGAGAGACAGAAACATCGATGATGAGAATCACGGATGGGCCGCCTCCCGCACGCCCCACACTGGGGATCGCGCCCGCAACCCGGGCCTAGCCTTGACCGGGAATCGAGCTGTGACCTCCTGGTTCCTGGGTCAACCCTCAACCGCTGAGCCACGCGGGCCGGGCAAGAAAAGAGGTTTCATTCCTTCGTGCGGTGACACAGTAACCCAGGGGCATCTTCCAAGGAGAGACAGCTGGGCTCTGGCCCCAGCCCACTGGGTCCCAAACAAGTCACAGGAAAGCATACAGGGTACAGGGGGGTCCTGAGGCCTTGGGGCCTGGCTTTGGGGTTCAGTCTCGGCCAGCAACCGTGGCCCCAACGCCAGCAGCACCAGCCCCATGTCAGACACCTCGTATTCTGCCCACCTCTCAAGCCCCCTCCGCCCCACCCGCCACCCCGGCTAAGTTACCGGAGCCCTCAGCCCCGGGGTTTGGAATCTTTCCCAGATGCAGGTTCAGCCGGTGACGGGGAACGTGAGAGACGAACTGAAACATCAACGCTTTAAGCCGACGGAACGCCCAGGAAGGCGGGCGGCGCAGCCAGGAGCAGGCGGAGGACAAATGCTTTCCTCTCCCGAGGCCCGACGCCTCCTCCCAGGACCCCGGCTTTACTGCCCGTGCCGGAAGCAGGAGCTCACGGGCATTCAGGCCGACGAGGACGCTCCTCACAGGGTGGATCACACAAGCACCGCCCGGCTCGCGGTCCCTCAGCAACAAGACCCCAGCGCGCAGCATCCCCGTGAGGCATCGCCCTCAGACCCTGCACTCGCTGTCCCGGGCATCGTCCTGGGAGCAACACGAGTCTTTAGTCTATGCAGAGAATCTTGTGGTGATAAAATGCACTGTTGCCCGGATGATCCATCTTGGGAGATGTAGAAAGAAAAAAAAAGCGGCCCGGCCCGTGTGGCTCAGTGGTTGAGTGTCGACCCATGGACCGAGAGGTGACCAGTCCAATGCCCGGGTGTGGGCTTGATCCCCAGTAGGGGGCGTGCAGGAGGCAGCCGATCGATGTTCCTCCCTCATCCATGTTTCTCTCTCTCCATCCCTCTCCCTTGCTCTCTCTCTAAAATCAATCAAATTAAATATTGTTTTTAAAAAAGCCAAACCTCCTCAGTTCCAGGGGCGGTAGACCGCCACGCACGAGCTGTGTGACACGGAGGAAGCCAGGTAACCTCTCTGAGCGCTGGTCTCCTCGCCAGTAACAGGAGGACCGGAGACCCTCCGACCCGTCTGCCGAAGCACTAAAGTAGCTGGTGCATGAAAGGAATTTGCATAATTTCTACACACCTTTCCCATCCCCTGAAAGGGAGGTGCCGTTCATGACACTCGCTTCAGCAGTGACTATGGCGACAGGCGGTTTTTAATTGGTGGTGAAGACCAAGGACATCTGAAACGGCGTTGGAAGTGGGAGATCCCACGGCACCGACTTCCCTCCGTGCCCTTGCCCGAGCGTGGTGGACGCCCCCCGACTGTCCGCACACCCTCTCGATCCTGCTGTCTCCAGAGAAGTGGGATCAGTCCTGCGTCAGGGCCTCGTCCTGCTGGCTGGCAGGCTTGGCGGCCGGAAGTCACTAGCGGAGGCTGCCCGCCCTGGGCCCACGGCGAAGCCGGTGCTTTAACAACGCACGTGGACCGGGCAATAGTCACGCAGCGTCTCCTGAAAGGGCTTCCCCAGCATTCCCTGCCGTGTGCTTAAACCACTGGGAAGAGGTGGAACGGACAGAATACAGACTTTTTAAAAAGTATTTTAAATATAGTTTTACTAATTTCAGAGAGGAAGGGAGAGGGAGAGAGAGAGAAACATCAACGATGAGAGAGAATCACTGATTGGCTGCCTCCTGCACGCCCCCTCCTGGGGATCGAGCCCGCAACCTGGGCTTCGATGCCAGGGACCGGAATCGAACCCGGGATCCTTCAGTCCGCAGGCCGATGCTCTAGCCACTGAGCCACACCAGCCGGGGCAGACAGACAGCTTTACAGCAGGACTTTTTGGGGCCTTCCATCTGCTCATGAGCCCTGTGAGCCCACAGGAGAGGAAGATACGCAGAATTTCCAAAACACACCCGGCCGCAAACTTCTCCCCGAGGTTCAAGGAGGCAGCTTGAGAAACCCTGGCCCGCGAGGGCTGAGTCAGGGGTCAGGCAGTTCTGAGAAGAGCGGCGGGGGCGGGGAGGGGGCCGTGGGAGCAAGCTGCCCCGGAACGGGGACATCCCAGGCCCGCCGCCCGCACCCCGAGGAGTCTGAGGAGCGTCCGCGCCGCCAGGCTCCAACCTCCGCCTCCGACTTGTCCACCCCCCCTGACCCCTCTCTCGGGACAAACAATCCTCCCAAACCAAAGACACAAAAGGGCAGGCCCCGCCTGGCAGCCCGTCCCTCAGCCAAGAACACACTGCTTCAGCATCGGAGATAAGGCTCCCGCCAGGGTCCCCGTGGGGGGCATGTTCCCACCCTGTCCCAGGCGTGGAAGGCCTCATCAACTTATTTTTAAAGAAAACACGGTCTCTGATGCTCCAAGACAAGAATGTACAATTCTCGACCCAGCAGGAGGGGCAGAACATCCCCAAACCAGAACAAAGGTTTCTCAATCCCAGCAAAGTAAGTAAACACGCCCAGGGAGAGGGAGACGCTGACAGTGGCCACTGCCCGGGGCGGGGGGCATGTGGGCTCCGCGAGGGGGGCTCCCAGGTCAGGGCCTCGAGCCCGCACAAGATGGGGGGGGGGGGATGGCATAAAAAAAAAAGTGTTTGGGCCTGGCTGGCGTGGCTCAGGATCTTCCCAAGGAACCTACAATGTGTGCAGCTCTTAACCGACGCACCTCCGTGAACCAACATCGGATGGATGGCCTGCACCGAGGGAGGATGGATGGCTGCTCCGTCCCTGGCCTGGCCTTTCCCACGCGCCACAGGTGACCCCGAAACAGTCCCTCCGACACCTGACACTCGGCTGTCCTGCCTTTCAAATGGAGCCACGCAGGCCCCGCCCTCACCACGTTCGGTGCCAGCGGACTCGGGTCAGACGGGACCGGGCCCGCCCGCTCAGGTGTTCACCCTCAGCACCGGTGTACGTTTCAGCGAGATTTCAGGAGATGGCTCCCAGCGGGTTCATGCGGGGCCTGTGGCCGCAGGCTGCCACCGTGGGAACCCGCCACCACCGTGAGAGATCGCATCGCTGCTCCCAAAAGAGCCGGCGTTCAATTCCCTGGCCGGGAGGCCCCCCATTAACCTCTGCACCCCAGCGTCATTAGCGAACCATTTATAACAAAATCGTAATGGAGAGCCAGGAATCCCACCGCAGGCTCCGTAACTGAATGCCCCCTCGTGCCAGGTCCATAACGGCGTCCAGTGTCACCCCAGGAGACACGGAGGAAAGCATCGCAGCCATGAGCTGACACAGCAGAAGAGAGACGTGTGTGACTGCAGAAGCGACCTGGATGGAGTCACACACATCGCTTCTTGGAGGGGGAACGTTCCCGCCTGCCCTCTGGGCGCAGAGAGGAAGCGATGGCTAACACGTCACTTCACTTTAATGTTTTAGGGGAAATGGATGGTTCCTCATTCACCTTTACTAACACGGCCGCTCCGATCAGGCTGTCTCAGCGCGGACCTCTCTCTGGGCTGTGGACGTGGAAATGCACGTTCCCACGGAACATCAGTCCGTGGACACGGAAATGCACGTTCCCACGGACATCAATCCGTGGACACAGAAATGCACGTTCCCACGGACATCACGTCACTTCACTTTAATGTTTTAGGGGAAATGGATGGTTCCTCATTCACCTTTACTAACACGGCCGCTCCGATCAGGCTGTCTCAGCGCGGACCTCTCTCCAATCCGTGGACACGGAAATGCACGTTCCCACGGAACATCAGCTCATGGACACGGAAATGCACGTTCCCATAGACATCAATCCATGGACATGGAAATGCACGTTCCCACGGACATCAATCCACGAGCGGAGGAGGGACCAGGGCTCCCATTCAGCTCCAAGACATCCTAAGAACGTCACTGAGGCCGAGAGAGCTGTCCGGAGTGGAGGGTTCAGCCCAAACAATAATAGCTCATCCAGTTCCGTTCCTTTTCTTTTTAAAAATGTATTTTTATTGATTTCAGAGAGGAAGGGAGAGGGAGAGGGAGAGAGAAACATCAATGGTGAGAGAGAATCAGCTGCCTCCTGCACACCCCCACTGGGGATCGAACATGTGCCCTTGCGGGCATGTGCCCTTGACCGGGATCGAACCCAGGACCCTTCGGTCCACAGGCCAATGCTCTATCCACTGAGCCACACCATCTGGGGCCTCAGGT